CTAACAGTTCTGGGTAAGAGAGGGCAGCAGCCACTATCCTCTATTAAAATTCCCATTTAATCCCTCTCAGTGAGCAGTGAATAGGGCAGAGTTGGCAGCTGCTCCCAGCCTAGGAGAGAGCTGACAGGGACTGGAATAAGGACACCCTATAGTCCTCCTCCTCCCCGGTCTATTTGTGTGCGGGGCTGCTGGGCTTTGAGCAATGACATCTTCTACTTCGGAACGGGCTCCAGGCTCTTCGTTCTAGGTAAGCCTGCGTAAAGCCCTGATGGAGGAAGGCAGAATCCTCAGGGAAGGACGGATGTCCCTAGGGTAGAGACGAGGATCAGAGAACGGTTGGGAGTTCGGTTTTTGTGAGGGGACTGGGGGCTGTGACTCTGGTAACACAGCCCAGACTTTTTGGATTTGGAAGTTGTCTGATCGTCATAGGCGAGTCCCCGGACAGCTCATGCAGGGCAAGGTCCGGAAGGGTCCCGACACTACACCGTAGCTTAGCTGATCCCTGGCTAGGGGAGCACCCTCTGGCCGGCAAGAACGGTGCTGGGAAAAAAGTAGCTGTAGCAGAGAAAGAGCCGGCGCCATTTCCATCCCCTACGCACCCTTTCTCCTGACCCATAGACGATTCTTTCCCGATCTGAGTGGACGGTAAGGGATTGTTGAGAGGAGTAGGGGGGCAGGCTGAGATGGACTAAGACCACAGCCTCGGCAGACGGGGAGGACTGGCTACCTGGGCTTTTCTGTGCCAATCTTCCTAGGAGCCAGTGTTTCAGTTTGCATACCCAGGTCACAGGTGATACACCCTCCCAGCTAGCATCTTTTGGTGGGAGGATTTGTCACCTAACATAACTTTGGAAAAGCTTCAGCCTCCCCCCTCTCAGATGCTAACTTCAGTGCCTCCCTCCCCCCTACTTTCCCTTCCCCTAACATGGATTTATTCCAAGAAAACCTGAGTGTACGAGGACAAATTGGGGTGGAAGGGGGAAGGAGGAAGGTAGCAGAGGGACTAGTTTCACTTTTTGGTTTCTAGGCAGAGGGTGTTTTTTGTTTCTGAAGGGGGTGGAGAGAAGCATGCTTCTCAAGCCTTCTCCACTAGACAAAAATAGTGTCTAAAGAGAGATAAAAATCAAAGGGAAAGGATCCAAGCTGACAGAGAGTGTGGATTAACAGCCAGACAGTATGGAGTTATGAAAAAGACACTGAATTTGGAGTGAGAAGACCTGGGTTCAGACAGATCTCCAAGCTTGGTGACCTTGGGCAAGTTACTTACTCTGTCTCTGGGCCTAGAGTACATCATCTGTAAGATGAGAGATTGCATTGTAAGAGCTCCAAAGTTTCTTCCAGCTATAATGGTGCTCTGCACTTTATTTATTCTATCCAATGGCCAAGGAGGTGGAGGATGTTAGTTGAGAGAGACAGAGACAGAGAGAGAGAGAGACAGAGAGAGAGAGAGAGAGAGAGAGAGAGAGAGACAGACAGACAGACAGACAGAGAGAGAGAGAGAGAGAGACAGAGAGACAGAGACAGAGAGAGAGACAGAGAGAGAGAGAGAGAGAGAGAGAGAGAGAGAGAGAGAGAGAGGTGTTGGTTTTTCCCTTCATCTTGATTTATGGAATGGCATACATAGAGCTTAAAAGCTATTATAGTGCTCTATACCCAGAGGACACTTAAGTGTTTACTTATTTAATGGTGATGAAGAGGAAGGAGGGGAAAGATGATAATAATTGATGGACATGGTAGAAGGGGAGCATGGGAGCAACAGACGCAGGCAATGGGAGAGAACTAGTTCCAGTCTGGGCTTGACTTTTCAAAGTAAACTCCTGTATAGATTACAAATTCTGCCCCTCCCCCTCCCCAAATCCTCCACTCTCTTACTCTGGGATCCTGTTCCTTGAGAAAAATCATAGGATTTTGAACTGGAAAAATGTTGGAGATTATCTCATCCCAACCTTTATTTTTAGAAATTAAGGAAGTGAGTCCTATAGAGGTGAAATGTAACTATACATGTAACCAACCCTTGCCCATGACCACCCATCAGACTAGTTAGTCACATAAATTGGAGGAGTAAGTTCTTGTCTCCATTGGGTGATTGACTCAAGGGTGCCACAGGACTCTCTAGCCCTGACATATTTCCCCTTCCCCTCAGACGAGGCCTAAAACCTCCACCATTACAGTTACTCCTCTGGGTTTGATGAGAGATAAGAAAAGAGGGAATAGAGACTCCAGGCTCTTTAAATGCATATATTTTACTTGAGAAAGGTGCAATATGAATCTAATGTTTGATGAGTTCTCTTGTACAATAGGGATTATATTTATTCCTCTTAGCACTAGAGGGGAAAACTAAGATTAATATGTAGAATTTTTAGGGAAGAATATTTCAACTCAGTCTAGGGAAGGGTTTCTTAGTTTGAGCTATTCAAAAATAGACCAGGATGCTTTTCTAGGTGGTGAGTTCCCTGTCCCTCCAGGTGTTCAAGCAAATGCTTGATGGCCACTTGTTGGGGATGAAAATGTACTTCATTCTTCAGTAAAGATCTTAGATCACTTCCATTTATGATGCCAAGATTCTAGAAGGGGGAGTTGATTTCTACTAAATGCATTCTCTAATTCAGCATTAAAGCCTAGACCAATTTAATAAACACTTATTTTAGCTCTTAGGTATATGGAGATTTTAAAGATAAATAAGATAAGATCCCTGCCACCATAGAACTCCCCTTAGCTTAAATGAGTTTGTTGTTGTTATTCAGTCTCCTCTGACTCTTCCTGACCCCATCTGGGTTTTCTTGGCAAAGATACCCAAGTGGTTTACCATTTCTGTCTCCAGCTCATTTTACAGATGAGGAAACTGAGGTAACAGGGTTAAGTGACATGCCCATGGTCACATAGTTTCTGAGGGCTCAATTTGAACTCAGGTCTTCCTGACTCCCGGCCCAGTATTCTATCCAGTATTAGAGTATAAAACCATTCACCTATAATAGCAAGACCGTAATGATATGGGAAAAGATCAAAGAAGTTTTGACATGAAGGAGGGAGAAAATAAGCATTTATATATAGCCCCTAAATATTGTTTCACTTGACCCTCACAACTCTGAGAGGTGAGTGTCGTTATTATCCCCTTTTTTGCCATTGAGAAAATTGAGGCAAACAAAGGTTAAGTGGCTTGCTCAGGGCTAGGATCACATAACTAGTAAGTGCTGAGGCTGGATTTGAACTAAGGTCTTCCAGACTCCAGGCTCATTACTATATCCACTGTACCACCAGCTGACTCAGAAGATGTAATTCAGGTTACTTGAAGCCTAGGTTACATGGCTTCAAATGGTTGATCATTCTGAGTTGTCACAGTAGGGAGACATTTACAGATAAAGAAACTGTGGGCTTGCTAGTGGACTCAACATAGACATATAGGACCCTGCCTTAAGCTAATTTGAAGGAAGCTACAGATTCTCTTAGGCGGTTAGGGACAGGAACATGGGAGTCCGCTTGTGCAAAGGCATGAAGGTGGTAGATGAAAAGTCCTGGACAAGGAACAGCTAGTGGTCCAGTTTGACTGGATCAGGAAATGCTTCAAGGGGAGTAATACAAAATAAAAGCAGAGAAGAGGAGAGGGGCAGATTGTAAAGGATTTTAAATATCCAGCTGAGCATATTGTTTTCATCCTAGAGATAGTATAAAGTGATTGAAGATTTATTAATGGTGTCAGGGGAAGAGGAGACTTGGTCATATCTGTCCTTTAAGAATTTGGATTTAGCAACTATATGGAAGAATTAGAGAAGGTGCTGGGAGACCAATTAGGAAGCTACAAAAACAGACTAGGTAAGTGATGATAAGGGCCTGAAATAAGGTAAAGACCAAGTGAGTGTAGAAAAGAGGACAGATGTTGGAGAGGTTGAGGAGGTAAGATTGACAATCATTATGTAAGATGTCCCAAAAATCTTAGTAATAAGATTAACAAGTAATAAGATTCTTGGGACATCCCATATAATACTATTAAGGAAGAGGATGACTCCAATGATGAATGTCTGAAAGGATACCTGTGCCTTTGAAAGAAATGGGGAGAGGTGGAGGAGAGATAGGGTAGAGGGCTCAAAGAAGTCTACCAAAAGAGAAAGGGAACTGGAACTTCAATGACAGAAGTAAAGTAACTTTATACATGTGAGGTATGGTAGGGAAAAAAGGTCCTTCAAGGATTCTAGATCTACAGTAATTGAAAAGTCTTTTCAATTAAACCACAACACCACTTATTAAGTATCTGCTATGTTCAAAATAATTTGTTATGTACTAGAAGAAATATAAACTTAAGCAAAATAATATATCTGAACTCAAGGAACTTGCATTTGAGTAGGAAAGGTAAATTATATATTCAAAAATTATATGCATGTATACAAAGTATGTATAAAAATTACAATGCAAAACATAACATTACAAGTGGACAAGAGAGTTATGGAATCCTGTGACTTTTATCTGTGAGATCAGGGAAGATTTTTCAGGTTTCTTATGTAAAATGAAGAAATTGGCAAAGGTGATTCTTCTTTAAATACGTAAGTAGGCCTTGAAGAATAGATAAGATTTTAATAGGCAAAGAGGATATCTTAATTCTCGAAGAGTACTACAAATAAGCAAATACATAAAGCATCCTTCTTCCTCCCTCTTACAGTAAAAGAGCTCTCTGTCCAGTCTTGGATACCAATCCCTTTCCATTTTTCAGATGACCTGAAACAAGGTGATTCCCCCAAAGGTGACTGTGTTTCAGCCGTCTGAGGAAGAGATTGAGGAGAAGGGAAAGGCCACACTGGTCTGTCTGGCCACAGGCTTCTACCCGGACCTTGTGGAGCTGAGCTGGTGGGTGAATGGGCAGGAGACCAAAGTTGGGGTCAGCACAGACCTTCAGCCCTCCAAGGAGCAGCCTAATAGCACCTTCTCCAAGTACTCGCTGAGCAGCCGCCTCCGGGTTTCTGCTCCCTTCTGGCGCAATCCCAAGAACAGTTTCCGTTGCCAAGTATTGTTCCATGGGATCTCAGAGGATGAGCCCTGGACCAGTAACATGAGCAAACCCATCACTCAGAATGTCAGTGACCAGATCTGGGGAAAGGCAGGTGAGAAATATAACGAGCAGGGGTATGGTGGGGATTGTATAATGGGCAAACAGACCCAGAAAAGAAAACCAAGACAGAGACACAGGGAGGGGAAGAGAGAGGCAGAAAAGGACAAGGACAGAATGAAAGAAAATCCAAAAGCATAAGCAGAAAGGGAAGGCAGAGAATCAAAAATACAGACAATAAAAGAAAGAAAATAATCTGTCCCCAAGAATATCCCTTGGCAACATGGATCTAGAGAAAAAAAAAAGAGTCAGGCTACATTTCCCTGGAAGTAATCAAGGCTTTTTCCTGCATGAATTAGGTATCAACTCTGATTCAACTTTCTCCTTCAACCCCAATCAGAGTCTTGCAGATAGCAGACCCAGACCACCAACTTGCAGATATCCTTCTGATGTTGCATCCTTCCATTTGCCCACAATCATAAAGATAATGTGTTTTTTCAAAATACGAGCAAGGAGGGAAGTACAGGACTAGGGCTAAGTTAGAAGGTATTAAATATTTAAAATAATATGTAAAAATGCCTCCACATTTATTTTGGTTCTTAGACCAATAGCCATGATTTAACCTATATGGCCTACCTAAAAGGCAACATCTTTGGGAAAGCCAAGGATTATCCAATATGTTCCAAATTTTCTCTTTCAGATTGTGGTATTACCTCTGGTAAGTAAATCTCTTTTTCTCTTTTCTCCTTATTCCCTACTCTTTTGCCAGCAACCATAGCCCAGATATCCCTTGGGTAAGCTCCTTGAAGGCAAGGATCTTCTTTTGCCTCTTTTTGTATCCCCAAAGTTTAGCACAGTGCCTGGCATGGAGTAGGCACTTAATAAATGTTTATTGATTGATTGATTGAATATACTACTCCATTGTCGCATCAGTGATGGCAATGTGGGACTAGAGGAGGCCAGAATTGCATGTTTACAAGTATGGAGTCTCTATCCTCACAGAGTCCTATCAGCACAGTATCCAGTCTGCCACCTTCCTTTATGAGATCCCTGCTGGGGAAAGCCATGCTGTATGGTTTGCTGGTCAGTGCCCTGGTGTGGAGAGCCATGGTAAGGAATTTAAAAAAGGAGAAAGGAAAATGGGACACAATTATGATCTAAAACCAGCCCTAGAAAATATGATGAACCCATAAGTCATCAAGGGTAGGGGAAATGTGAGGGAGGAAGGAAATAGCCCCAAAGGCCCCACAAAGTACCCCAAAGTGGCTTTAAACTTTTAAGCTTACAAATTGGATTGGTGGGAATGGAGAAATTCAAAGTGAAATTAAAATAAATTAACAACGAATTATAACGAGAATCCAGTGTCTTATAAAATATTTGGCGTAGATAGCCCAAGTCCTGGACTTCTCCATTCTGCAACATGTCCCTTAACTTATTTCTCCACCATGATGTTACCTGGGAGATTAACAAGAGATAATTTGTGTGTCTTTTTTAGGCCAAGAAAAAATATTCCTGATGCCAGCTGTGGAGGTGAGAAGAAGGAGAAGAGAACAGGAGGATTCAGTACCCCAGTTTGGCTTCTGCTTTCTCTACTCCTATTCTGTGTTTCAGAAAAGCTATTGTTCCCTCAGTCTTCATCCCCATCCTTCAAAGGTCTCTCCAAAGAGAACATTTCAATCCCAAGGGGAGAAGGATGGTGGTTTAATTTTGAAGAAATAAAAAAGACTGCCCTGGCTTAGCAGTTACCAGTTATGTCTCTGTCTTTTTTCTCATCCACTTAATCTGGAAATATTCCTCTAAACTGGGATATACAGTTCAAAAAAGCATTAGCACAGTTAATGGAAAACCTGTTTGAGCAAAGGAAGAGGTTATTCTATTAGGACATTAGCATCCCCCTCCTTGAGTTTCAAATTGTTGTCGATCTCACTCGTCATTACATAGGTACTCCAGAGGTAGAGTTAAGCCAATGGATGCTAGATGTTGTGAGTGTATGGGAGAAAAAGCTGCACACAGGGAAATCACAATATCCAGTGATTAAGGGGATGTCTGAAAAGAGGTGGGAAATAGAAATATGGTGTGAAGAAGAGCTAAGCCCTATTATAATTAGAGAATGAAACAAGACAGGTGGGAAAGGATTGAGAATGTGAGGAAAAGATAAAAGAATGGTCATGAAATTGGAATAAAGTTTAAATGAGAGGTAGATTGAATGGAAGCCTGGGACTAATATGAAGGCTGATCTGCTTTGAGTGGCAGTTCATACTGAATTATTCCTTTTATGTTCTGAACTTTGGAAATTTTCACATGGAGTGGAGGTTGGAATTGAAGTTTAGGAGAGGAATAAACAGATATGATGTTCATCTGAATAAATATAATAAATGAATCCATGAGACCTAATAATATCCAAAGAAAACAGAAGTATAGACTGAGAAAAGGGCCCCAGGCAGAGCCAAGTCTTTAATAATAAAATAAATGTGAATAAAATCAAATCTGAGATTTTATTCTACATTGAGAAAATTTGCAACACAACAAAAGGATGAAAGTAATCAGTGATGGAGGAACTGGGGAAAGTGAGGCATATTAATACAATGTCGATGAAACTATGAATTGGTCTATTATCTAATTTGTAATTTGTAATTGTGATTTATAAAAGCAACTAAAATGTCCATAATGTTGACCCAAAGATCCAACTCCCAGATCAGAATCAGAAAGAAATGTCCCACGTGTGCCAAAATATTCGTAACAGCATTTGTATAGCAGCAGCAAAAAAAACAAAAACAAAATAAGTGCCCTTTGATGGGGAATAGGGACTTAGTTTGTGTTGGTATAAGGAACTTCTGGATCAGAGAACTCCTTCTATCAATGCAAGTTGACACCTTCTCTGTAACTTATATTCCCATAGAGTGTCCTAGGACACTGTGGTCATATAAACAGCACGTGTCAAAGATGAGGCTTGAACCTGGGGCTTCTTGACTCTGACTCAAGCATTCTATCCATTATTCTTCTCTTTTGATTAGGGAATAACTAAATAAATAACGACATCTGAAAGTAATGGAGTATTACTGTGAAGGAATAAAACATGAAAACAATAAATTTTGAAAGGCATAGGTAGATATAGAACTGATGGAAAGCAAGGAAACTGAACCAGGAAAGTTTATACATAATAACTACAAAATGGAAATGAATGAAAAAAACCCAAGCTGAATTCTATGTAATTATAATGACCAAACTTCGCCCTTGAAAAGAGGTGAAGAAAATATGTCCTCCTTATCTTCCTTGCAGAGACTGGAGACTATTCCTATGAAACTCTGCTTATAATTAGTTGATATGTTGATTGGTTTTATTGAAGTGAATGTATTTAAGGGAGATATGAGACATTTATTAAGGGTGAAAGTGGCATAAAAGCAAAAGATAACATTTTTTTATGGGGAAAGGCAGAGAGGAGAGATGGGTTGGAGACCAGGATCCATTTGAGAACAGGTCAAGAGTACTCATAGTTAAACCTTAGCCAATCAGTGGAGATCATTTGTAATCTAGGAAACTTTGGGCAAGTCACCCAAGTCCTTTTTGAGACCCCCCAAAAATGATAGAGTTTCAGCAGAGTAGTAGAGACAAAAGCTAGATTACAACAGGTTGATAAGTGAATGAGAAGACAATCCCAGTTACATAGTCACAAGATCAAATGGCTGCTTTTAAGCGTGTAGTTCTCAACACATCTGAACGTAGAGATAGATGGCCTTTAATTTCTATGACACATTTCTTTACCACACAATTTTTTAACTGAACCTTTGTTGTCTTGCTTTACACTCAAGGTTTGTTCATTTTGTTTTGTTTTATGGTCAGGGATAGGGAAGAATCTTCTTCCCTCAACCAAACTTTGAACTCCTTGAAGGCAGAGAGACTATGTTTTTACATATCTTTGGCTTTGTGAGGAGGCCCTTGGACTCACAAAATAATTAGGCCCCAGTTAGCATAAGCTATCCAAATTCTACTTAACATATAACACTGTTCCCCAAATAATTTAGATTTCTAAAGTGTTGAGATGATCTTCTGATTCTGATACCACTGTCTTTTAGGGTGAGAGAAACTCTGAACCATCTCAAGGACTGGACATGTATATTGTTTTAACCTCTAAATCAGGGGATTCTGGATCAGTTCTTTAGATTATACAATCTTGGATTGACAGCTGGAAAGGACCTTTGGGTTCATCTATCCTTTGATTAGGGGGAGGGGATATTTTATAGATTAGGAAACAGAGTTACAGAATTTAGATGACTTGCCCATAGTCACATATGATAGAAAGTGGCAGGGCTAAAATTTGAATGCAGGTTTGTCTGGTTCCAAAGCCAGCATTTTATCCTATATACCCTTCTTGTTCTTTGGTTACCCCTTCTGCATCTTGTAATTGGCAGGAAAAGACTCCTTTTCATAGGCTACATGGAGAAAGATGGACTAAAGTAGTAGTTTGTTTCATAGACCCTTTTGGTGAAATCTATGGAAACTTTCTCCAAAAAACAAAAGATTTTAAATGCATAAAAGCTTTAAATGCATAAATTGGGTCACAAAGGAAGCCAAGTATAATGAAATAGTTATCAAAAAAAAATTTTTAAAGAAAAAACAAGTTCATGAACCTTGGGTTAAGAACTTCCCTACTAAAGGAATAGGAGTTTGAGCATCTTAGAGGTCATCTTGTGTAATTGCCATATGCATTATTCCCAGAACAACATCCTCCAGAAGTGGTCATCTGGCTTCTATTTGAACACTTACAGTAAGAGAATTTATTCTTTTTATTTTATTGTTTGGGCGGAAATTGGGGTAAAGTGACTTGCCTAGGGTCACACAGCTAGTCAGTGTGTGAGGTTGTATTTGAACTCAGGTCCTCCTGACTTCAGGTTTGGAGCTCTGACCACTGTGCCATCTAGCTGCCCTGAACTTATACTTTTTAAAGAATTTCATTATTCTTTTGGGAGTAGTGTGATGTGTGAGGAAGTTCTTCTATGTTCCTAACCTCTGAGGGCAAGAAAATGAGGCTAATCCCTCTTCAATAGATTTTTTTTTCCATATGGTATATATCAAAATTTTCAAGTCTCCACCATTCTTCTTGTTAGTGCCTTTCTAAATGTGAAACCAAGAACTGAATACATTAGCAAAGAGGGAGTTTGAATCAGACACAACTTTGCAGGAGTTTTGTCATTCTTTTCATTTCAATTAAAGGCCCAAGATTCAGTGGGATATCACAGGGTCTAGAGAAAGAGAATGCCAGGAATTGGCCCTGGGCATGAAAAGGCACAGCAAGAAGCCCCCAACAGGTAGGAGATGTAGGCCCCACAGAAATTAAGTGGGAAGACAACAAACTCCACTTGATTTGCCATTCTGCCTAGGTCCCTCAGGGAGACAATAGCTCATTTCTCCCTGAAGATTATCTCCTCCCCTCCTTCCCTGCAGAGTAAGTGTTGAAGTAGACAACTGAACTTGGACTCAAGACCCCTGGATCTGGATCCTGCCTCAGACACTTGCTGTGTGTCCCAAGACAAAGTCACTTAATCTCACTGAGCCTCAGTTTTCTCATTTGTAAAATAGCACCTACGTCAGAGTTGTGGTGAGGCTTAAGTTAAATGATGTATGTGAAAAACCTTTGCAAAGCCTTAAAGTTCTGAAAGTGAGCCTGGCCCAGGGGCCAGAGAGCAATCCTAGAGACTGTGAAGACAAGTCTGAGTCCCATCTCTGACCCATCTCGACTGGGTAATCTTGGTCAAATCTCTTAGCTTCTCAGTGCTTCAGGCAATACTCAAGATTAAATTGCGTTGACAGAAAGTGGCACCCTTATCTGGGAGCTCTCTGTACCAACGAATGTATGTTTATGCTTAAGGTGCTAAAGAAACACGAGCAATATTACAATTATGGCTATCCCTGAGAGTGCTTATACAGCAGAAAAATGAACTAGCCAGTTGGAAAGTTGACTTCCTTCCCACTATGCCCCTGCTCCTTGAAGGAGTAAACTCGTGGAATTTGCCCAAGAATATTGTCTCTTTGCTTCTTGAGACTCAGCTAGTTACTTTAAGTGGTGGCCTCTTAACTAAAGAGAAACGTCTTCCTTCCACCTTAGCCCAGCCTACTCTGCTTCATCAGAAATTCTAGTCTTAGTAGAAGGGGCACAAGTACTCTAATGGTTTGCTGCTCTTACACAGGTTTTCTACCCAAGTGTCATCTAGGGAGAAATTCAAGTACAACCTGACTACTCCTTTTCTCCTGTTACTTCATCACTTCCCCTTTACCCTTCCCCCAAGCCCTGCGCTGCCAGATCCCAGCCGCAGTCACTAGCTCCCCTCTAAATCTCCTCAGAGTTGAAAGAAGAGAGATTGAGGGGAGGGGCCATTCTTGAAGTAGGTTGTATCATTATGGCAAATAAGGGGGGGAGGGGTAGGGCACAAAGAGCCTCCGGAAGGTCTTTACAAAAATCTCTTGTTCCAATGACAAGCCCAACCCTCCCTTTCTCCCCTTTTTTGGGGAGTCTGACTGAGAAATTACAAAGGCAGTGTCTATCTCGGAGATTTCAGGGTCCCTATGAATGTAGATAGGGGGAAAATGTGTCTTTATTTTCAGTAATCTCCAAGTGAAATTTGGCATTTTCTTCCATTAAGATTTTTTTTAATCATTATTCTGAGAATAGGTCAAGAGTTTCATCAGTTTGCTGAAGGAGTCCATCACACACACACACACACACACACACACACACACACACACACACACACAAACACACACACATATGCCCCATTCGAATGAGAAATCAATATTTTAGAACATAATTTGCAATGAAAATTATTACTTTGTGCTCTCCCCCCAATTATTCCCATTGCTCTCATGTTATTTTGCCTTTAAACATATCCAACTTTATCTAAAAGTTTACTTTTTCTTGTTGATAGTGGAGGGTGGCAGGGGTAATTAAAGAGACAGAGCAATCCCCAGGATACAGATAGATTTATGTTGAGCTCTGTCCTATTGTGTTTCAATGAACTTCATTTCGGACCTGGGACCAGGCTCACTGTACTAGGTGAGGAGTGCATGGGTGAAATCTTCCAGGGCAGTTTTATTTTCAGGCGAACTTTACCTATTCACCCTGTTCCAGCCCTCTGAAGTCCGCGGAGTGGGTTAGGGGCGGTGGAGCTGTGATAGGGGTATGGGGAGGGCTCCTAGATTATTTGGTAATAGAGAGAAGCCCAATAGATGATTTCCTGAGTTTGAGCTGCAGCCCCAGCTGCTGTGCTAACACCGGGCAGTTGTACTTTGGAGTCGGAACCAGGCTGACAGTGTTGGGTAAGAAGGGACAAACAGCACCCATACTACCCTACTCCTTCCTATTCCTGCATTCACAGTGATCAGGGCATAGGACAGAGTGGGGATGGCAGCTGTCTGAGGGAGAACTGGGGACTGGGAATGGGGATGCCTTACTCCTCAGCTCTTTCGTGTGCCAGGCTGTGTTGCTGTGGGCACAGAGACTCAATATTTCGGGGCTGGCTCCCGACTCATCGTTCTAGGTAAGCCTGTACAGAGTCCAACTGGGGGCTTAGAGGGTCCCCTGAGTGTGATTGAAGTTGTTGGGGCAGAGAGAAGGTGCAGAGGATGGTTGAGGTCCAGATTTTGTGAGGGGTCTGAAAACTGTGTTCCGCTGACACTCAGATTTTTGAGTCTGGAAGTCGGCTGACCGTTGTAGGTAAGTGATCCTGAGCAACTCTTTGTTGAAAGTCCGGAAGGGTCCCAGTGCTACCATGTGGCTGATCCTTGACTCAAGGAGGTCCCGATGGCCAGGGACAAGAAGGGAGGCCCCAGACCTGGGAAGAGGCAGCTACGGTTGGGAGAGAGCCAGTGCACTTTTCATCCCCAGACGCTTCTTCGCTGAGGACTCTTGCTGCAGGGCAAGGTGGGGGACAGGCAAGCTCTAGGTGAAGAGATGAGTTGGACTGGGAACTGAGCCCCGACAGATGTGGGGGATGGGCAGCCGAGGTTTGGCTGCAGAGCTCTAGCTCTGTGTACTCCTATGAGCAATATTTCGGCCCAGGTACTCGGCTATTGGTCACAGGTAAGACATCCTCCCCACTACCCCACTGTCCAGGGACCAGAAGGGCACAGTTGGAAGATTCATCCCACTAAGGTAGCATGGGAAAGCTCCCGTCAGTCGTCCTCTTTCCTGCCACTCACTAACCCCCATTCTCATCCCTTGTGCACACTCGGCTTACTCGCATAGAAAAGGAGGTAGGAGGCCAGCCGGGGGGACGGGATAGGGGGGTTGTTTCGGATTTCCTAGATATGGGTGAGTGAGTTAGGTATGGGAGGGTGCTTCTTTCGTTTCTGAAGGGAAGGATCATATGCAGAAGGAAAGTGAGGGTCCCAAGCCGCCTACGTTGGACTAAAGAGGTACAGCTCTAAAGAAAAAAAAATAATCTGAGGGAGAGCGAGTGTGGATTGATAGTGAGACCTTAGGAGATAGTGAAAAGGGATTTGGAGTCAGAGGACTGGGATTCACGTACAGATCTGTTACTACCTGGGTGATTTGGACCAAGGCATTTTGCCTCTATAACTCAGTTTCCTCGTTTGCAAAATGAAGGGTTAGACTAGATTACATGTGGAAAAGATTTACCTATCCTAATTCTTATCATCCCCAATTCATTCCAAACTCGTGGCTGAGGCATACAACAAATTCTTAGGTGACAATAATAATTATCCTCTTCTCATCTTGTATAGCTTACTATTTGGTGTTTGAAGGGAATCAGGAATATGGGGGTGAGAGGTGGAGGGTGGGAAACCGTTTTTGTTGGACAGAGAAAGAAAGGTACAGGTCTGAAGATGTTTACATGAATTACTGCTGTTGCGCCCGCCCCCCCCCCCCCTCGCCACACACACTAGAGCATAAGCTTTAGGGTAAGAACTCTTCACTTACATTTTTTGTATCCCCTGAAACACTCAATCTTGTTGCTCAGCACATAAGAAACTTTTTTAAAATGTTATTGTAGTATAGACATAAGGCCACACATCCAATATGACAGATTCCATAACCAGGGGACCTTTAGGTATTTAATGGTAATGATGATAGTTATGATGATTGATGAACAAGGATGGAGAGCAAAAATGGAAAGACACATAGAGACAAGGTGGTGGGTCAGAAGAGAATTAGAACTAAGATGGGTTTGAGGGCTTGGCATTTTAAAATGGATTCTGAATTAGGTTACAAAATCCTAAGTCCCATTTCTTCACCTACTCACCTTTGGTTTCTAGTCCCCGAGAAAATTATAGGATTTAGAGTTGCAGGGTACATGAGAAACCACTTAATCCAATTCAGCTTCCTAATTTTAGACATGAGGCAACTGAATTTTAAAGGAGTGAAGTGGTGTGAGCATTATTCATGATTACACAAAATGCCCTTGCCCATGCATAACCAAGATTCAGCCCTACTAATTGAAAAACTTACAAGTTGATGGATTTGGGGGGCTCACTGCACTCCAAATATTCCTGCTGACTCTAACTCAGCTGTCTTCTCAAAGAAAAGCCTAAATGATGGTTTCATTGAATATAGTGACAATGATGGGTTCATAGATTTAGAGGTAGAGGGGACCTCCTAGGTCATTGAGTACAACCTCATTTTATACATGAGGAATTGAAGTTTATAGAGGTGAAGTGAGTTGTTCACGGTCATAGGGCCAATTAGTGTCCAAGGTGGGATTTCAACCCAAGTCTTTCTGGTTCCAAGTCTGCTGTGTTATCTACTTACTATACACTCTAGAATTCTGTTCATTTTCTGAAAAGGAAAGGGAATGCACCTATGGTTCTAGAGGGGATCTTTCCATTAGTCACTGGTTTAGATCTTCTGTGTATAGAGTTCTTTATGTCATGGAGTTAGACATAAGAAAGAACTTCTGGATATTGAGATATATGAGACCTGGGAAACAAGGGAGCTTAAGGAATTCCTGAGATGCAAAAAAGAACTTAGTCTGATGGTATATAAGAAATGTAATTCTTCCTGGAGATCTGGAGAAGGATGAGATAAACTCATGAAATGCATGCAAAGTAACTATATACATACATATGTACATATCTATTATATAATATGTATATGTATACAATGTGTATCATATATATGCACACATATATTTTTATATTAAATATATTTTAGTAATAGAGCTATAAGTATACTTTTCATTCTCTTGACTATACATACCAAGGAATACAATGTGTAAGCAGCAGAATGGCATAATGAAAAATGCCCTGGATTATATAAATTAGAATTCCTGGATTCTAGTCTCAGTTTTTCTACCAAGTAGCCACATGAAGCTTAGTCTAAATCACTAAATTTCTCTGAGCACTATAAAATGGAGGCAATAATGCTACCTTACTTATTACGAGGATTGTAGCAAAGTAAGATCATAGATTTAGAGGTGGAAGGGACCCTAGAGGCTATTTAGTCCAACCTTAGCATTTTACAAATGGGGAAGCAGAGGCCCAAAGAAATTATGTACCTTGCCAATGGCCAAGCAGCTAGTAAACAGGATTTAAACTCAAGTCCTCTGACTCCAAATCCAGACCTCCAAATCTCCTCCACAATTCCTCCATAGTACAAAGTAATAGATACATGTAAGGTTATACAGGGTAGTCAGAAAGTCTTAGTACAGTTTAAACTACTAAAGCTTAATAAAACAAATGTTGGTGATACAAAATGTCCCCAAAGTCTTAGTGTCTGGAGCTAATCTTAGCTGAGTGCTAAGATTTTGGGGACACCCTGTATTAGCCATAAGTAGTAGTAGTAGAAAGCAGTAGCACCAACAATAGTAGTAGTAGTAGTAGTAGCAGTAGCAGTAGCAGCAAACAATAGCAGCAGCAGCAATAGTAGTAGTAAGTAGCAGTAGCAGAAGCAGTAGTGGTAAAAAGCAGTAACAGCAGCAGTAGTAGTAGTAGAAAGCAGTAGCAGTAGTAGCAGTAGTAGTAGCTGCAGCAAGTAGCAGCAGCAGCAGCAGTAGAAGTAAAAAGCAGCAGCAGCAGCAGCAGCAGCAGCAGCAGCAGTAGTAGTAGTAGTAGTAGTAGTAGTAGTAGTAGTAGTAGTAGTAGTAGTAGTAGCAGTAGTAGTAATAGCAAGCAGTAGCAGCAGCAGCACTAAGTAGCTTTTTCTGCTGTACAAATCACCCCAGTAGTCACTTGTTTGGACTGAGGCATCAAAAGACACTTTAAAAACACAAATGTAATATTTGGGAGAAATAACAAGCTGGAAGCAGTCTCAGAGGCCTCTAGCATAACCCTCTCATTTTAAGGAGGAAGAACCAAGGGCTAGGAGAAGTTACATAACTTAGGTACCAAGAATCAAGGATAGGGTGCCACTTAAGGTTTGGGAAGGGGCAAGGGTTGACATAGATCTACTTTTTTTTTTTTGGACTCAACTTAGAAATTCTGTGGAGGATGCAGTGGAGATGGGGTGGACACTGGGAAACCAATTAGGAGGCTATTGTAGTAGACCAGATGGGAGGCAATATGAGCTAGAACAAGGATGAAGATTGGTCATTGGAGTGGAAAGAAGTGAAGAAGTATCATTGTGGAAAGAGAATCCACAAGACATGGTAACTGACTGGATATTGAGATGACAAGAGAAATTGACTCCACGTTTGCAAATGTGGGTGACAAGGAGGATAGCAGAGCCATCCATAGAAATGGGGAAGTTTGGAGGAAGGGGAAGTTTGGGGGTCATTCAGGGCAATCTGTCTTGAGTAATAAGGACTGATTCTTAGAACAGGGAAGAAAAGTAGATTCATATGTCGAAAGAGGGGCTATTCAGTTAAACCATAGCACCATTTATCAAGCTTCTACTATGTGCAGGGTACTTCGTTTTCTACTAAGAGATTTATAAATGACACAATGTCTCTGATCTTGAGGAGTTTACACTCTAGCAAGAAATTTCAAATATGCATGAAAAGGACAGTCTAGAACATAGGATGTCCCAAAAGTCTTAGTGCTTTTTTTTTAAGAGATTAAACCTCAGCTCTATGAAATCTGGAAGTCCCCCACAAAGATTGATAGGTTTAATTATGTTATTATAGCTTAAAACTTCACTAAGACTTTTGGAGTATCCTACATAACATGGAGCACAAAAGTTACATCGTGCTACGTATGATTGATCCAAGAATAGAAAGATCACATCCCCTGGATGGATCAGGGAAGACTTCCTAGGTTCTCATCTATAAAAGGAGGGGGTTGGATGAGATGACTTCTAATGTCCCTTCCTACTCTCTAATACCATAATACACCACTATAATCCTAGATCATATTTGAATTAAATACTATACAGAATTGTAGTGGATGTAGAAGATAGCTTGATACAGGGTACTATAAACAGATAAATACAAAAACATTAAGTATCTTCTTCCTCCCTTCACAAGTAGACAGCTCTGTGACCAGTTATTGATACCAACTCCTTTACATTTTTCAGATGACCTGAACAAGGTGACTCCTCCAAAGGTGACTGTGTTTCAGCCATCTGAGGAAGAGATCGAGGAGAAGGGAAAGGCCACACTGGTCTGTCTGGCCACAGGCTTCTACCCTGACTTTGTGGAGCTGAGCTGGTGGGTGAATGGGCAGGAGACCAAAGTTGGGGTCAGCACAGACCTTCAGCCCTCCAAGGAGCAGCCTAATAGCAACTTCTCCAAGTACTCGCTGAGCAGCCGCCTCCGGGTTTCTGCTCCCTTCTGGCGCAATCCCAAGAACAGTTTCCGTTGCCAAGCATTGTTCCATGGGATCTCAGAGGATGAGCCCTGGACCAGTAACATGAGCAAACCCATCACTCAGAATGTCAGTGACCAGATCTGGGGAAAGGCAGGTGAGAAGTATCATGAGTAGGGGCCTAGGGAAAAGGTAGTCCCACAGAAGGAGGTTAAGACATAAAGGTAAGGAGAGTGAAAGGAAAGAACTAATAAGAAGATCAAGAAATAAAGAGAGAAGCAGAGTAGACAATGCGTGACAACCAGAGAATCAAGGAGAAAACAGTCTTTCCCCTGGGAACTTTCCATACTAGATGGGCCTGGGAGGCAAGAATGCTCCCTAGCTTAATAAATAAACTAATACTAACTAACATTTACGTAGCCCTTACTATGTGCCAAGCACCGTGCTTAGCGCTTTACGTACATTATTTCATTTGATCCTCACAACAACTCCGGGATGTAGGTCTTATTATTTGTCCCCTTTTTACGGATGGAGATATTGAGGCAAACACAGAGTAGGTTATTAGCCCAGAGCCACAGAGCTAGTAAGTATCTGAGATCAGATTTGAAGTCAGATCTTTTCTGCTCCAGGCCTGGCACTCTAACCATGGAGCCAACTCGCTGCCCAATTTCCTACTAGAGTGAAGCTGGACTGCTTCTGTGCCGTATGGACATCTGTGCTGTCCACCTTCCTAGTCTCTATCAGACCTTCACAGAAAGAATCTCCAGACTAAAAATCTATTTGGTTCAGCAGTCTATGTGGAGCCACCCTGAATTTAACCTCCCCCCCCACCATTTCCCTGAGATAACAGTGATGGTATATTTTATAGATGTGAGCTAGGAGAGAATCAAGCTAGCAAGCACTTAATTTGAGCTCCAATTTCCTGGCATTGCGGCAGATGCTGGGGATACAAATAGAAAAGTGAGACAGTCCAAGCAACTTATATTCTATTAATTTCAGGACCAGGACTGGATTTGGAGAGGACTGAGAGATTTACATTTTTAGAACATAATATTTGTTTCTTTGAGAACATGGATTTGTGCTAACTTGGATGGCCACCCAAAATAAAAGCCTCTTTGAGGAAGCTGGGACTAATTTTGTATCTCTCCCAATTTTGTTCTTTCAGATTGTGGAGTCACCTCTGGTAAGTGAGCCTCTCTTTTCATTTTTTCCCCATTCAATGACTCTATTCCTGTGGCTATAGTCTATGGAGGGAGCCCATGGGTACCTGGTGGGTACATGCCTATTCCCTGACCCAGCAATGATGGGAACATAAGACTGGGGAGGTCAGTTTTAGTGGGGGGGTCTTTGTCCCCACAGAGTCCTATCAGCATAGTATCCAGTCTGCCACCTTCTTGTATGAGATCCTGCTGGGGAAGGCCATGCTGTACGGCTTGCTGGTCAGTGCCCTGGTGTGGAGAACCATGGTAAGTGAGGCAAAAGGGAGGGTCAGACAATCTTGAACAAACAAACCCAAGGGAGTAGGAGAACCCCTGGGGTCACTGAGAGAGGGGGAAGCCACAGGTTTGGGAGCGTCATCCAGGAATTCCATTTATTTCTGTAAGCTCACATTTAGTATTATGGAGAATGGAAAGATTCAAGGAGAATTTGAAAGAAAGGAGTGAGTTGATGGGCCCTAACAAAAATCTACCTAGAGTTTTCCTTTCAGAGGCTGTTTATGGGCAGTCCTAATTCCTGAGCTTCCTGTCCGTAACATGCTCTCTCCTTCAGTCTCACCCCAACTGCTAAGTTCTCTGAAAGCCTGACAAGGCCCAATTGTGTCTCTTCCTCAGGCCAAGAAAAAATATTCTTGAAGCCAGCTGTGGACCTGGGAGCAGGGAACTAGGAACACGTAGCCTTCATGCTTTCATCAGCTCAGCTTGGCTTCTCCTTTATCCATTTCCAGCCTGCATTCTGGAAGAGGTGTTCTTCCTTCTCTCTTTATCTTCATCCCTCACAGATTTCCTCAAAGAGAACTACATAAATCGGAAGAGACAAAAGTGGTGGATTAATCTTAAAGCAATAAAAATGTCCTGGTGTGATCTTACTCAACCACTGTGTGTCTGTGGCTTATCTTTATTCCTGGCTTATGTGCTATAGACAATAGATGTTTCTAGGAGGTAACTGATAGTAACTTAAGGAAAATATCCTCTAGCAGAAGAAGAGAATCACCAAGATATTTACATGCCCCACCCTGTTTCCAGGAACAACCTCTCATTTCTCTAAACTAGTAGTGCAGGAAAGCAAGTCCAGCAAACATTTGTTAAATGCAGACTGTTAGCTGCTGCAGTAGATAAAGGGCTAAGTCTGGAGTCAAAAAGATCTGAGTTCAAATTTGGCCTCAAAGACTTAGTAGCTGTGTAAGCCTGGGAAAGTCACTTAATCCTTATTTGCCTCAGTTTCCTCCACTGTAAAATGAGGTTAATTACAGCACCTACCTCTCAGGATTGTTTGTGGGGATCAAATGAGATACTATTTTTGAAATGGTTAGCCCAGTGTGTGGCACATAGTAGGTGCTATATAAATGCTTATTCCTTTCCCCTTCCATTCTACTATGAACCAAGATTTGTAGTAGGCACTGGCAATATAAAGATAAAACAAAATCATCTCTGCCCTAAAGGAACTTACATTGGCTCCAAACATACCTTTCCAATCTAATTATACAAGGCACCCCAAAGGTTTTACTAATTTAAAACTGCACTAAGACTTTTGGGACACTACATATCATTCCCCTTCTCTTTCTAGAATGTAGAGATCCAGCCAAACTGACCTTCTTATACACACTCTTTTTACCATTTTTGCATCTGTGTATTGATTGTCCCTCATACTTGGAATGTATTCCCTGGTCACCTCCATCTGTTAGATTCCCTAGTTTCCTTCAAAACTCTCCTCAAATATCACTTTCTGCGTGAACTTTTCATATTCCGTTCAACTGCTAGTGCACTCTGTCCCTTATAAATTTACCTTTTATTTATTTTGCATATGTTTTGTGTGAACTTTTTCATTCACCTATTGTCTCCCATTATAGAATGTAAGCCTCTGGAGGGCAGGTACTGATTTATTTTTGTCTTTGTGTCCTTAGTGACTAGCAGGATGCCTGGCACAAAACAGGTGTTATCAACAATTGTTGACCCATAGGTTTATTGTACCTTCTTTAGATCACCTCCTTTGAAGATGTAGACAAGAGCCCTTTTATAGGTATTGAATGTAAATGAGATAATTGCAAATGTAAATTCCTAATGTGTAAGAAATCTACTCAAAGTCTGATTGGACTTTTTCATCTCTTGTATAGAAATAATAAGATTCATAAAGAGTCTTAGGAGCTTCTATGCAAGAAATGAAAAAATCTCATCCTGAATTCTTTAAAGAGAGAATGATCAGCTTTAATTAGAGCAGAATTTGGGGAGTAATTGCGGGTTTGGTTGCAATTTGAAAGCTCAGAGGTAGGAGAACCAAGAGAAGTGATTTCAAGGAGATCCCAGTGAGTAGATCATTATGGGTTGCTTCCAATTTGAGCTGTGCTTGGGCTTTTTCAGAGAAGAGGCTGAACTCTGTAGGAGTTCACGGTAAGAGTTTGAGAATTCAGTGTAATAATAGCCCTGGAAGGGTCTTAGACCCTTCTGGAAGACTGGAGCTCTTCTGGTCCAATTCCCACATTTTATAGATGAGGAAATTGAAATAACTCCATTCCCAATACAACTTGCTTTGTATCCTTTTGGAGTGCCCTTTCAGAACTATAGACAAGAGATACCAAATATGGCTAAAATGTTGTGGTGACTAGCCCAAGATGATACAGTATCAAATGAATAGCAAGCATTGGTATCAGGACTAGAATCTAGATCTCCTAATAGCAAATAAGTGAACATCTGCTACACCAATATACCAAGCTGCCATGAAAGACTTAAGGTTCTAAATATAACGCTTCATCAGGACACTTAATTGTGAGCAGCAGTTCTTAAGCTGGAGTCCATGAACTGCTCCCCCCCACCCAGTGGCCTGTGAAGAGATTTCAGAGGTTTACGAACTTGGGTGGGAAAATATTTTAATAACTATTTCATTATGATTGGTTTCCTTTACAATTCTATTTCATTCATTTAAAAACATTATTTTGAAAAGGGCTCCATAGAATTTGCTAGATTGCCAAAAGGGGTCTATAACACAAAAAGGTTAAGGATCCTTGAGTGTTGAAAAAGAAGATTACAACACATTATTGGCTGTATGCCACTTGTATCAACATTTGACAACTGGTCTTCTCCAGCTTCTCTTCAAGTATGGTGTACTTTTACAAAATATACTGAGTGTTCCAAGCTTATTGCACCAAGACTTTTGGGATACCCTGTGTATTCATAGCTCTTATTTACTCAGAATGCAACAGAGCTGAAAGATATTGGATTGTTAATAAACTCAGGGTGAAACTAGGAAATTAAATCTCTTATTACTCTACTTATCTTAAAAGTACTTCTTGGAGTGAAGAACACCTGGTCTGATCTATCTGTTCATAGAAGTGTGAACCCTGACATTCTTCATGTTAAAGTAATTTGCCTGATGAATTCCTCCTGAAGAAGTCTACTTACCTGTAAGAGAAGGGAGCCAAGAATTTTGATCCCAAGATTATAGTCCCAAAGAGAAATCCCTCACTTTTATCCTTGAGTGCTGATGGTGAAACTGACTAATGACAAAAATATGGAGCATTCTAGTCAGAGTGGCAAGAGTAAATAGTAGTTTGGGGGTTAACGGAGTATTTGAGAGCTGGATGGTTGTGTACATGAGGTAAGAGGAGAGAAAGCAGACTAACTCAGTGCTGACGCAGGGGATAAGAGATAACGAGAAAAGACCTTTGTGGAGATATTAGCAGAAATATTAATAAATAGAAAGCAAAACTAATAATAATGATAATAATAATTTACAATTGTACAGAATGTAAAGAATTATAAAGAATTCATTCCTGAAGAGGGATGGATGCTTAGGGGCCAATAAAGATGTTGGCATCAAGGTTCATAGACTTAGGCTTGGAAGGGATATTAGGAGGCCCATCAAGTTTAAACTCTCAATTTCAGAGATAAGGAAATAGAGACCTAGAGAAGTTAATGACTCACCCAATGTCACCTAGTTAGTAAGTGGCACAGACCAAGAAATGAACCCAAATCCTCTGATTTCAACTAAAGGGCAGTTAGGTGGTACAGTGTCTCAGACACTTACTAGCTGTGTGACCCAGGACAAGTCACTAACCCTGCTTGCCTCAGTTTCCTCATCTGTAAAATGTGTTGGAGAAGGAAATGGCAAACCACACCAGTATCTTTGCCAAGAAAACCCCAAATGGGGTCACAAGAACTTGGACATGACTGAAAAATGACTCAACAACAACAACCTGTGATTATAAATCTAACAATTTTTTCCCACTGTACCAGTAGAAAGGTGAGCGGGTATAGAGTTTGTAGGATAGGGTTTCCAGTCAATCTTGGTGGGATGGTGGGGCAGCTAGGTGGCGCAGTGGACAGAGCACTGGCTCTGAAGTCAGGAGGACCTGAGTTCAAATCCGGCCTCAGACCAAATATTAGCTGTGTGACCCTGGGCAAGTTACTTAACCTCAATTGCCTGAAAACTAAAAATAAAAAAAAAATCTTGGTGGGATGCTTCCTAATGCTGATGGACAGAAGCAGGAGATGGGAGGGAAATTTAATAGTGTAGTTGCTTCTCATACTTTATATGTAGGGGAAGCAACGTGTATAGTGAAAATAGTCCTAGATTTATGATGCTGGGCAAGTCAATTTGTCAGGGTCTCAATATCTTCGTTTGTAAAACAAAGGATTTTGACTAGATTGCCTTTATGATCCCTTCCAGATATAAATATATGATCATAATGTACTGGATTCCATTTTTCCTCAAGATGGAAATCCTAAGAAAAATATCCTTCCTTACCCCTTCCTCAACAGTTTATCAATATGCACGGTCTTGGGGAGGAAGCAAACATAATGTGACTCTTGACTTATCTGTTGACATAAACCCCAAATATCCATTTCCTACAGCTGACCCACCTCCTAAGATCTTTATGAACACAGGACTTCCTGATCCCACTGGAAAAGAGGAAGTATGAAAATAGGCTAATGAGAGAAATCCTATAGAGGAGACAAAGAGGTAAAAATATTTATTATTGAGTTTAGTATTTCTCTTAGATGAATAAGATAAATTGCAGAAAATTGTGAAGGAAACCAGTTATAGTAGATTTTAAAAAACGTCATTTTCCCATTGAAGTTCACTGAAAGCTATAAGGAGTCTATGGACCCCCAGGTTAAAAATCCCTAATCTATATGGAATCTAAAAAAGGAGGATAGTAGGATAAGATTTATCCTTTTGTCAATATTATTGAATAGGGAATAAGGTGCTCTGACTGACTGATCCGAATATAATTGGTGGGTATATTGTCATAGCAGAGAAGGCTGCAGGAAGAGATGATAAATTTAGAGCTAGGAAGCGCTTAGGAATTTAACTAGTCTAGCTACATCATTTTTATTCATATGAGGAAAATTTGTGACAGTGCCACAAGAGCAGAGCTAAGATTTGAACCTAGGCCTTTTGATTCTAATTCTAGCACTGTTTCCACCCTACCTATTGATTGCTATGGTGGAGTTATCTCAAGATCATCCAGCTTTCTTTAAGGAAAAAGAAAAAGGGAAAAAATAACCTTGTAAAGTAAATTAGCTTCTCAAATAAATTTCTCTCTTGGGAAGAGACTGATCAGCAGATATAAACATTCATGTTTGCTTAGCAAGCACTTCTCCCAAAGCAGAAATTCATCTGGTGTTTCTGGTTGCTGCTACTCAATCTCCAAGGATCTGGTCATTTCTGGGTAATAAGAGAAAATAAGTTTTCTGAATCCATAAAACTGAAGTATAGATCAAAGATCTAAGGCACCTCCT